AGGAGAAGTAGATTGCTGACTCACGTTTCCAGAAAAGTGGTTGACTCTTTGACTCCAGCCGGTGTGGGGGGTCTTCCAGTGTTTGTCTCATTCGATGGAGGGCGGACAGGGTTTACCCAGAATGCTGTTGTTTGTAGTTGAATGGAGAAACTGACTGCCACTTAGATTTCCTGCGGTACTTGAACGGGTTGATGTGGAGATGAATCCCTTGCTCAGTGTGAAGCTCAAACGATCCCTTGGAGGAAAGTAGATCCAAACCTCCAGTTTGAATCCCTAGCTCAGTTTGAAGCTCAGATGATCCTTCCAGGGAGAAAAGGTCCAAAACATCCAGTTTGCAGGATGACTTTCTGCCGAGAGGCAAAGACCAAAGGACCAGGCGCCACCTGGTGGAGGAAGGAAGACAAACACACCAAACACAAAACCACACAGACAGGAGTCCTAACAACAGGACCCCAATGCTGAGATGATTTTTTGCAAGATTTAATTAACCACAAAATGGTAACAGAAGCAAAAATTCAAAAACATAAATCAACAAAATCCAAAAATACTGAAAACCAGGAATACTCAAAACCAGGGGGCAGAGAAATGGTGACAAACCAGCAACAGTGACTGAGCAGAAGGTGCATATACGGGAGAGAGAAACAAAGACAAGGCTAATCAGCAGATTGGGAGCAGGTGTGACCAGAGGAGTCTGGAAAGAAACCAACACAAGAGGGCAACAGAGGGCATTCAAGAAATACCTAAAAACTCAAATACACCTAAAAAAACAACAAAAAAACACCACAAATTAGAAATTAAACCAATAAAAAAAAAAAAAAACACATTTAAGAACTCTGATATACTCTGAACTCTGTTTCCATATAACTACCCACATTTCCATCTGTCCTTCTTTGTTATTCTGGTTAAGAGGACACATTCCGTTTTGTTTAGAGATCCTTGGGCTCCCAGCTTCTGGCTAGAAACAGCTCCAGTTTATGATGAACAGGATGATTTCAACAGAATCACATCATGTGCAATAAGCTTAACCTCTGGAAGAAACAGCTGGAAATCTGATCTTTAAACACAGCAACCAGGACCAGTGATGATAATGCACTCCATAAAGTGATTTAGGAAGTGAATAACATCCATGGTTTGGTGACCCGAAGGCCAGATGACCCGTAAACAGAAGCCAGCACTTTCTACTCCTACTAGAATTATCTCCGTCAGGCAAGCATTATTTAACTCTTATCATGGAAACCATACTTTCTTATGCTTCATTCAATGTATTGATCTTTATACCCACTATTTTTTTTTTTCATTATGCAGAAGAGAAGGCTACACAAGCTTTTGGGAACTGATCCATTCACTCTTAAAAACAGATAACTTTCAAGCTGAAGTTTATATAATAAACCAAGATTTCCCCAAAAAAGCTTTACACCAACCATTGGTTGACCTTACAGGTTTTAAACAACAGCTGGACAAAAACTTAATCTTTTGCTCTGCAGCATTTAGACATATTGGAAAGACATACGGTAATAAGTTAATTGATGTATAAACTCCCTTGGGTATTTCAATGTATAAATTTCTTTTTAAAGATGCCATAGATCCACCGGCCTGAAACAGAGCAATCCTGATGAATGGAACTGAGACTGACATGAGCACAACCGTGTGAAAATCAACAAGCAAAGGTCAGAGTAATGAAGGAGGAAGATATCAGAGTCAGCAGGCGAGAACAGGAGGGAGATGTAGATGTGCAGAGATGGATGAAAATGTGAGCTGATAGGGATGGAACCAGAGTCACTGAACGAATGGCGGCTGCAGGTTGAGATGGTATAAAAGAGTGATTGCTGTTGGTGAAGGGTTCTGCAGAAATAGAAGTGGGGGATGGAGAGAAGGAGGGATGCAATTGAAATGAGAAGCACTTGTGTTTAAGGAGCGAGTGATCAAAAGAGGAGAGGGCAACAGAGATGGAATAGGAGCTGCTTTGCATTTTTCTCACGCTGAGCAGACCTGACTGAACAAATTAAATCTGTTCAGAGTAGCAGCGCTCTTTGGACAGCCTCCTCTCTCTGCATCTGAACCCATCAGAAAGTCATCTCAGGATTCTCCTGCATTAACACGCTGATTGCTTCTCTGGATGTTTACAACTGATGGAGAACTGGGCAGCTCTGCACAGCTGCGGGGAGTTTTCGCTGATGTTGTGTGTAATTACCAACATGTCTTAGGCATGGATCATAACCAACCATCAGTTAAAAAAAGAAACCACAGAAAACCTAAAGACATCACAACTGCACTTTTTACAACAAACAGTAATGCCTAACCCAGATATTTATACAAACAACACTCAACATGCTTTCTGATATTAAATCAGAATAGTGTCTCTTTTTGAGCTTGGTGAAGATGACTAAAATCATTTCACTACCTGCAAAAAGAGGATGGACCAACTGTAGCGACTAATACCCCTCTCCCTGTAGCCGAAAACCGTTTAAACCCGGAAACAATTGCTTTTTGTGGCAGTAGAAATAGCTCACTAACCTTTGTCAACCAGTGTCAAAGGAATCGTCAAGCGACCCGGGCTAAAATCGCCTCGGCTCCAATGTTCAGAAATAGAGAACATCAGACCTGGAACGACTCGCTAATTTACCAGAGCGCAACATACGGACGTCGACACACCTCGCCAGTCACATCGGATCCATAAATTCGATGTAACACCTCTGTTTACATACAATTAACATGGTATTTGCGCCTTGTGCTGCCCTGTGTTTGTGTGTCACATAGAATTCTAGTAAAACACAAGTCTAAATGGAAAAATCTAAGTGCGCTGATTAATTTTACAGTATGATGACTTAAGCTCATCCTGTGTGTAGCTCGGAAGGACCAAAGGTAAGCTCCTAAACAAGCTGCACCTTTTGACAGACCCGAGCATCATGGCTACAGACCTCATCAGTCCTAATGCTTCTCCACCTTTTCAACAACATACTACTGGTGCAATCCAGCACAAATATGGCTCCCAAGTAGTGGAGGATTGGTAATTACTCGTGAATCAAACTGGAGAGTGAGGTGTGACTCTTAAGATTGAACAACCAAAACTCTTGAACTCTGTGTTTCTGCCAGAACATCTCAAACAAGTGACAACTTAATGACTTGCAGTCATCCATGGTTATTTTCTGAGTGCTCAAATGATCGTCCTGTTCTCTGCTTGGTTGTGGGTTCTCGTTCCCGCTGTTTCCCATTGAACTTATCTCCTCTATCAGACTCTGACATAACTGCGGAGACTTTCAGAGCTACATGTGGGATCTATTAAGATCTCTTACTCAGTATTCTGCAGTTTGAATATATCAGTGTTGTAAACAAGAGCGGGCTTCTTCCCACTATTATTCTCCTTTCCCTCCACATTAATTAATTCTGGATCCTGCTGAGCCAATCTCACATTTCCAATAGAGGGAAATGAGTGGCAGAGTATTCCTTTGCCATATTTGAGGGGAAAGTTCAACATTTACATCCCTGGGAAGATCGATGAAATTTAGTAAGTGTGACAGCTAGTAATTTGTGCTCTCCTTAGAGTGCAGTACGTTTAATTGGTCCTGTTTACTCCTGCAGCCTCTGAGTCAGCAAACAATAACAGTTTTCGTTTTCCATCACAGCTCTGCTACGCTTCACATTCTCCTGTCAGCTGGAAAACTTCTAACTGCAAAGTTCTTATAAAACATTATAAATAATGATGAAGGTGCAGAAAACTTTCTGAAGGCATTAAAAATGCCATCATATCTCCAGGTGTATAAATCTTATCCAGGAGTAGAGAATGAAAAGCTGCTCCTCTTTTCCAGAGAAGATCATTCAAGTCCAGACTCCTCATCTCACCCTGACATAAACATTTATGAGCTTAGATCAATATTTTCATATCAAAAACTCCCTCCAAACCCAAACCCTGAGTGTTAATATTGATTTTAGTGGATACTGTTGGATGGTGACAGTCCTGTTGACCATATAGGAAGCCACATGTATGGCTGAATGCTGGCGGCATAGATAAGCGTGAAAACTGTAAATCCCTTTGCTTTCTTATATGGTAATGAATTTTTGTGTGTTGGGATGATCTACAACAAACATAAGAACTGGTTATGAACATTACACTCTTAAATGACTTCTGAGTTTTGTCTCCAGGAGCTTTAATCTTCTGCAGACTAAACTGACACGGTCAAACTGGTTTGGTTCTCAGGGGATTACGCTGCAGACTTTAACTAGTCCATTCATGGAAATTATCGGTTTTTCCAACCATCCATTAAAGCTCTGGCTGAGCATCCAGGGTCAGGAGTTTACTTCCTTTATAGAAATATGCTGCCACCACCGTGTTTCCCTGTTGGAAAGGTGTATCTCTGTAGTGTCTTGAGTGTCTGTAGTGTCTGTATGTGCTGTGAATTGTTGCTATATAAATACATTGAATTGTACAAAGCTCTTAGGGATGTTCAGAACCTAACCCACGCTTTGAACTGAACCAAAACCTTCTCATCTCCTGAGTTCCTTGGTCTTCATGATGCAGGTTGTTCTCCTATACTGTCTGAAGAAACTGAGCCAAAACACTGACTGGCTAAGTTTAAATTTCTCACTGCTCCACTTGGTTTACTAATTTGGTGGCTTCTAATTGTGGTTGAAATGACAAAATAATTAAAAAGTTTATGAGCCTTCAAGTTTCCAGTATGCAGACAACAGTGTCATTTCATTCCTAATATTGTCACTGAAGAAGGAAAGCTTTGTCCATATGTCAAGATTCCTCACAAGATATTATTTGGCTATTCTTAATTTTAAAACAATGTTCTATACAGAAAAGATAAGGGTAAACTATCATTAACTTTAAGTAGCATTGATTGTGGTTTGCCCAGTTAGCAGTGCTGGCTGTGAGATTCTTCTAGTAGAGTGAGTCTCCTAATAATGCAACAAACGCTTCGTCAGATTTGGCTCTAGTTTTCAGATCTGTGGTGTTTTCTGATCTTTTCTCTAACATTTTCCCTCTTTTCTGTCAAAAGACAGACGGACAAACATGGACGCCCCCTCCTTGCTGCTCTGCCCTCTTCTCATCCTCCTGTACTGCCTTCCTTCCTGCCTCTCCGACATGCTTTGTCCAAAACGATGCACCTGCCAGAACCTGCTGCCATCCTACACGGTGCTGTGTGCCAAGACGGGCCTGCTCTTTGTCCCGCCCAACATTGACCGGCAGACAGCTGAGCTCCGGCTGATGGACAACTTCATCACCACACTGAGGCACCGGGACTTTGCCAACATGACCAGCCTGGTGAGTTCTGGAACACCCTCAAATTCAGGGACCATTGGAAGCACTTTGATCCAATGTTGCTCTGGGTTGTTGGTTCAGGTCCTGTTCTGAAGTGTTGAATTCTCTACTGGTTAAAGAAAAAGCCTTTGTCTGATATGAACCATCACCAGTGATGGGAGTAACAGTGTTACTAAAGCCGTTACCTTTTTTAGTAACGAGTAATCTAACTAATTACTTTGACTGTAAGTATAACGCAGTTACCTTTGCTGACACCCCGTTACTGCACGTTACTCATGTCACACAATTACCCTTTTTTCCATGATAGGACTCGTGCACGCCTTAACATGAGAGAGGTGAGGATGAGATTGGCCGATGCATAATGAGATTAGATCTGTCAGTTTGATAGGTGGGTGTTTCAGCTGGCGGGTGTTAACATACAGCACACACAGAGAGATGGAGAGTGAGGAGGACTCCAGCAGCAAAACAGCGTTTTCCAGATGGAAATACAAGTGTTACGTCGAGCTGCGTTTCCCCATCAGATACGGTTTCCCCTGCATCTCCACACAGCACTGGCAGCACGATTCACCACGCAAACAACAGGAAACGTGCATGCTCGCTAAAGGCGCGTAACAGCCGCCCTGTGCTCTCGCAACAGGGCAACTACGGAGAGCGTGAACGATCAAATGTTAGCATGGATGGATGGATGGATGGATGGATGGATGGATGTTGCAGTATCTATAACAACCCAAACACACAGGATTTCAGAATTAGACATCCCCAGTTATTAATTTCATACACTCACCAGATCTGAACACCCTGTTAAAAAACTTACACACCCATGAGTAGAGGTAATGCAGCCTGATGGTATTTACCCCACATCAGATACCGTTCCCCCCATGTTAAGCAGGGGAAACGCTATCTGACGGTGTTTATAGGCCCGTCAGATAGCGTTCCCCCATGATGTCATTTACGTTGAGTTGCAATAAATGCAAAAATCTTTGCAGGTCTTTGTCGTCCGCTCTATTCAGCTGGCTTTTGAAACACACGGCAAGAAGGTGGGGGCCGGGGTGGTGAGGGTTAAGGGGGCGAGAAACGCAAAAGTAATGCAATAGTTACTTTTACTAGTTACTTTTATTGTGGAGTAACTCAGTTACTTTTTGGGAGAAGTAACGAGTTACTTTGACTAATTACTTTTTTTTTTTTTTTACTTACACACCGGGTGTTAACGTACAGCACATAGTGGAGGGACATGTTAACAACAAAATTAAAGCAAACATCAACTGATGCCACGTGCTCATCAAAGATTAACAAATCTTGCAAAGTCAACGACTCGATGCAGTCAGCTGACTTTCCTTTGTTAGAAAACTTTTAAGCGGTATTACATTTGTTTATTGTTGCAGCAATCTTCAATGATAGGCAATGGATTCATCTTTTAATTATTTATTAAATTTAGTCCAGATGATCCTGAAGCAGGGAAATCTCTCCGTGGCACTCTAGAGTTTTTAGGTTGTTGTATCTCCAGCAGTATAATGATCTGTTGTGTTTACTATGTTTTTTTCTTTCGCAGATCCACCTAACCTTGAGCCGAAACACGATCAGCCAGATCAGGCCATACACCTTTGCAGACCTGCAAGACCTCCATGCCCTCCACCTGGATGCTAACCGCCTCACTGTTCTGGACGACTCACACTTCCAGGGCCTGGTGAACCTGAGGCACTTGATTCTAGCCAACAACCAGCTGCACAGCATATCAGAGGGGGCCTTTCAGGTAAGACCAACCTCAGGAGGACATCCACCACCACTGGGGTCACACGTTTCACTAAAAACATCAGAATCATACATAGTGCTTCTTCATAGTGATTCTTTGTGGAAGGAGAGGCTACATAATAGTTTCCTTTTTTATCCGTATTTATATTTCACTTTAAATGTTGGGGAAACATCATCATATTCTAGTGAGATAAACAGATTTGGCTTGGGTCCATGTGACTAAAACAAGCTTCTGCCCAACATGGTCAGAACCTTCCTTCCCTTACTGAATCTCAGTTCTTTCATAACATGTTGGGAATCATTGGATCTCACAGTCAGAACAATGTTCTTCAGTTGGCAAACTGCTTAAAGCCATTAGAAGTGAACACAAACCATCCCTATAGTGAAGCACGGCAGTGGCTCCATCATGCTTTATCACCATCCAGCAGAACAACCAGCTTAAACATGCATCCAGAGCTACAGGCATCTGGTTGGGATCAATGCAAACTCACACGTTAACGTGGCCTAGTCAAAGTCCAGACCTGAAACCATCTGAGGGTCTGTGGCAATTGACAACTGATCTTATTGGCTGTTCTTCAACCGGACAGAGCTTGAGTTTTTTAACCAAGAAGAGTCAAGTAAAAACTATAACTCTGAATATGCTGAGAATTTAGGGAGATGAAATCTAAAAGGCTTGTAACCAGAGTCGGTTCATCAGAGATCTGACTCATTGTGCCTAAATGTAAATGTAACAACACTTTCCAGATCTCCGTTAAGAGTTCTGTATGATTGTCTCTGTGAAGTGCCTTGAGATGACATGTGTTTTAAATTGGTACTATATAACTAAACTGAATTTAAATTAAATTGTGGACTGCTCAGAGGCACAGTGGGCAGCACTAATTGGCTTTTCTAAAGTCTCCTTAGGTGTGTGTGTGTGTGAATGGTTGTTTGTCCTGTTTGTCTCTGTGTTGCCCTGCAATGGACTGGCGACCTGTTCAGGGTGGACTCCGCCTCTCACCCATTGAAAGGTGGAGATAGACACCATCACCCCTCGCCACCCCACTTGGGATAAGCATGACGGAAAATGGATGGCTGGAAATTGAATTGTATAATTTTTCACAAAAACTCAAAGTAAACACTCGTTTCCAGACCGCCACCACTTCACCTTAAACCTGCTTTTGTTCCCAGCTTCTCCAGCCTCCTGGACTGTCCTCCATTGCAGGGAAAACTGCATCCATATATTCCCAGCTGTCTGTCTGTCACTCCCACAATCATCTTTAAAAGCAGGCCTCTTGTGTAAATCAGGCCAGTCAGGAGTAATTTTCTGCTCCTCATTCTCATTTTCACAGCTTTCAGACTTTCTTTTGTTGCTCATAATTACATATAGAAAGCAAGCACCAGTTGTTGCGATGAAAGCTGAGGAATTATAAAAATCAGAGAGTGTCCTAATTATGTGCATTATGAGAGTAATTAGAGCCCTGACAAGTCCATGTTGGCAGATCAACAAGCTGCCCTGTTTTCCATCCTGATGTAAGCTGTGCAAAGCTGTGTGAATAACATGGAGATGATTAGAGAAAACAACATGCTCTGATTGGTCACCATTGACCAGGATCAGTTAACTCCCTGCTATTTATCTTCATTTCTCATATTATCTCTCCACTGAAGCCTGTTTCTAAGGCCCATTAACCGCAGCAGTCTTCAGTTCTTCATTCAGAGTTTTCTATTTATTTTCAGAGTTTTCTTTTTTTTTGTTGAGCTTCACTATTTTTGCTGTTCCTTTTAACTGCATTTCCATCTTTTTCTCTGGTTCTTCTTTAACTTATTTCTAATGAATTAATGAATTTATTTTCTTGGTAACTCTTTAGAAGCCAGATAGTGTAACATTTATCTAAACTGCAGTACGAAAAATACAGTAGCAGCCATTCAAAATGGCCCTTCCCAGCCTAATGACAGCCCACTTCCCTGCAACTCCCAGCAATATCCCCCCCAACTTCCAGCCCCTGGAGTGACCCCCCTCTTGTATATTCATTTTTTTAAATCTGACTCCACCTTTCCACTAAGTTACAGCGTCTGACCAGGAGATGACACTTCTATTCAGATCTTAATGTCTGCAAATCATTACAGAAAGAATATTTTAGTACAAAGATTGATGTTTAAAAAGAAATTGTAGGGGACCAGCCAAGGACCAGACAAGGGTCCATCAAGGAAAGTGGGGAAATGTATAATACTTTACCGTACGGGGGGCCACAGTAGTGGAGACTCAGAACTCGAGACATAGAACTGATGATTTGTGGATGATCCTGTAAAGGAAGAAAATATTCTAACATAGTTAACTTTGGAAAAAGGTTGGCTTCTGATTCTTCCCTTCCCCAGGTCCACTCGGCGAGCTGCGTTTGGTAATAAAACCAACATTGCGTGTTGACATCACAGAATTACAGAGTTTAATCCAATATAAGACAATGCATAAACTTAGAAATAAGACAATGCACAAACCTACACCAGAAACTGCAGAACAACAGAGACATACATTCCATTACCTGACATAGGAGGAAAAAAAGCAAAGACGTACAAGACATCTTTGGAGAGTTTGCAAGAGCAAAATCTGATCTTTTCCTTCTATTTAGAAAGCTTTATCCTCTTGTATCTAATCCATTCAAAAAGGGGCTGGCCCTCGGTCCTCCAACCAAACGCCATCTCTGACACTGCTAGGGCTTCCCCTTATTTACTGCAAACATCTGGGGTCATTTGCTTCTTTGTTTTAACAAGAAAAGGCGGAAAGCTTGTCCTGGCATCTAGAATTCCTAAAGTCATAAAACACAAGATAAGCTCTCACAGACAGCTTGTGGAATGCGGGGGGCTCACCATCCCTGGTTGTTTATTCTGGAAGACTTTTGACCTTCTGTAAACCAAGCAGAAATCTCTCCTGCAGGCTTAACTGTTATTCACCCCCCAGGAGATACTCATTCTATGGGCTGGTGGTCTAAATACTTATCCATTAGTAGTTTTAAATCATTAACACAGCCTTGTTCAAAATTAAGAAATATGTTCAAGTGAGAGTGTTTACACATGCCATAAGATTAACTGTATTAAAGTCTAAAAAATAATCATTTTTCTTTAACAGTCCCCGTTTTGAGGTCTGAGACATACAGACCTCACAAATAAAATGATTAAGCCTTCTAATAGAGGAACCAAAAAACTATTTAGTATACTAAAAAACTAAAACATTAGCCCAATTTTATAACAGTCCCCTTTTTAAACAGCACCTCCTAGGTCCCCTGCCAGGCCATGTGTCTGAAGCTGAACTCCATAATCTAAACTTATCAAATGTATCTTGCGCTGTCCAACAATTTAATACTCACCTGATGAACCACAAAATTTTAACCAGTAAAAACTAAACTAAAAATACATTTCACTTATCAAACATGAAAAATAATAAAACTCAGTTATGTCAATAGAAGAAAACACACAATAGAAATATTAGCCCAAGTATAAAATTAGAAAACCAAAGCAAGATATCTCGAAATTACCAAAAAATGCTCAGCAGACTCAAAAGACAATACTCGCCACAAAAATTACAATTTGTCAATACAAAACAATAACAACATAAAAAATACATCATAAACACATAAAAATTACAAAAGACCTTTTTTTTCTTTTTTTCACAATTCAACAATAAGAAGTTAGAGTTCGTCTCTATGCTCCTTCGATAGTCTTTCAAAAATGAATATGAATTCTTCGTCAGGAAACGATCCAAAAATACGCGCAAAAAGAAACGAATGTTCTTGAAGAGTTCGCAAAAACGAAAACACGCAATAAAAAGAAGATAAGTTAATGATGATCTTGTAGCTGGATCCTTCACGTGTTCCTCCTCGGTTGTCCTCAGCTGATGTGCACTGACTCCAATGGAACCACGTGTCTCCTTCTCTCTTGTAGACGGACAGCATGAGATGTACTCTCCACGACTCGGTATGGTCTGGCGAAGCGAGGTTCAGACCACTTTCTTTTGATGACCATCAGGCGCACCCAGTCGATTCCCCGAACTGATCCCGAGCCTGGACGTTCCTGTGACGTCTGGTATTTTGTAAATTCTGCTGCCAGGACCTGTAACTCATTGAAAAAATCTTTATGAGATAAATGTGCAAGCTTACCTTTCCATCCTGGAATGCGGGTAGCAGGTCCTGGAAACATCCGTCCTGTCTGGAGCTCATATGGAGAGAACCCTGTTGATTGGTTAATAATTGATCCTACACTTTATGACAGCTTCACTGTCTTCCTTTTGTATTATAAATCTGCTACTTTGGAGTTGTATTTTATCAATCCTTTGACCCTCTTTTTATATAAGGCCTACATGAGAAATGAAAGTTTCCTATCATGTTAAACCCAAAACTTAACTGTATTTTAGAAGCAGTTCCATAACTGTTAATTTGTAAATCTCCAATTTAGACCAATTTAATTTCAATCATCATATTTTCTATTTTTTAAAACCTTAAAGAATGATCAGCCTGCTTTACATGAGTCACTAAATATCAAAAATGACCTACTTTATTCCAATCATATTTTAAATCCCGAAAATTTCAACCATTTTTACCTTTGATCCATTTATTCATTTGAAAACCTATTTATAAAATATTTAATTGAATAATGTATTACCCTTTTTATATTGTTTATCAATTATCAATGCCTTTTCAGTTTTGGAGAGAGATTCAATACAGCTAAATTTATTAAATGATGTAAATCTTTAGTTTAGACCTTCCTGGATGTCTTAGTTAAACAACTTATTTTAAAACATATGAATAGCGATACAACAATCCAATGATCACCTTCCTTAGTTTAAGAACACTATTTTATATAAATTATTTGATAGTCAATATTTTGTTAAGTATATTCAATTTATACATTTTACTTATTTCATATCCAAATAGTTAGCTCATCTTTAATGCTGGTAATACACCGTAAAACATTTAATGTATTTTGATTTAACTTCAATAACCTCTTTTTCCGAAAAGTAAATGCAGAGATCCC